TCCCCGGGGGGCCCCCCCCCCAGCCACGCTCCCCCGGCCGCCTCCATCTCCAGGTGCCCACTTGTTACAACAGCTACCGCCACTGCTGGGGGTGGGGGAGCGGCCAGCCAGATACGAGGCAAACCCTGGCGGAGCCACTCCCAGACCTTACTATTTTGGAGCTACTGCTTCAGCCCCAGGAAGGGCTGTGCGGAGCCCAGCTGGGGCACTGCGAGGCAGGGCATGCTTGGGCTCAGCCAGTGTGCTTCATGTGCTGCTGTTCTCCCCCCTCCCCGTTGTGGGAGCAGCAGCGCATGGAGCCGCTTGCTCTTCTGCTCTCTGCCATGAGCCAGGTCTGGCGGGGAAGGTCGGAGCTTTCTTCACACCCCGCCCCTGCATGCCCTCCAAGTGTGAAGCCAGGGCTAGTGCTGCAGCCTCGCAGCTGTGAGGGCTCCCCACTGTGTGCAGGAGAGGGGGGCTGAGCTCCCTCCCCATACCCACGCTGCTGGGGGAATGGCCGTACACTGTCTGGAAGCTTTTCCCTGCTGCAAGGGGATGCAAAGCCAGGTAAGCATCCCCCCTCATGCCCAGTCCCCCACATCCCAATCACCCTTGTTCATTCTCCTCCCCCTGCCAAGACCCTGCATCCTCAGCTTTTGTGTTGGACATAAATTAAAATTTTACTTTATTTAAAAGGAAGTTTGATAAAGTAACATGAGAAAGTTAAAACGCTTAATCTGGATAATAAGTTACATTAAACCAGACCCCCGAGCTGCAGCTGGTTCAGAAAATATGGTCACCATACCCAGCCTGTCCCCACCCAGCCACCTCCACCCCCTTCTTCCTCCAGCATACAGATGTGTGAATAAGTTAAATCTCGGCATGCCACTTCTGAAAGGTTGCCAACCCCTGTCCTAGAATGATGTTTGCTTTTTTGCAACAGTATTACATTACTGATTCATATTTAGTTTGTGATCCATTAGAACTCCGAGGTCCCTTTCTGCAGTACACTTTTCTATGCAATTGATTATTTCTTCCTAAGTTGCCAGTAGACCATACCTGTTAACTTTAGTGTCCATGTGGTTGCAGTTGCCATTCTCATTGCCTGCAGAGAGAAGTAACTTCCAAGGTAGCTGGGTCCTAGTCCATTCTAGGCATTGTAGATGGTAAAACAATAGTAATAACTAGACTGAGGCTAAGTCTACAGGGGATAGTTAAAATTAAGATATACAACTCCAGCTATGTTTGATTCAGTCTTTGGCGCCATCTCCACAGTGGGAGGTCAATAGGAGAAATGCTCCTATCGACTTCCCTTACTCCTAAAAAGGAGAAGGAGTACTGGCACCGATGAGGCCACCCTCAGCATTAGATAGAGGGTCATTATTAGACCCACTAACTCAGATGCTGGAAGATGAATCACCAGAGCATTGATCTGTCAGTAAGTATAGATGTGGCTACAGTTCTTTGTATCAGTAGGTCTCAAAGCAGTTTGTAAAGGAGTCCAATATCATCATTTCCATTTTATAGAAGGGCAAATAGAAGCACAAAGAGATGAGTGACTTGCCCAAGTCATCCAGCAGCTGAGTGGAAGAGCCTGGAATAAAACTCAGGTTTACCTGAATCCTCATCTACTTCTCTATCCACTTTAGGTCACACACTGCCAGGGGTGTGTGTCAGGGGGTGTGTCTAGACTACACCTCTCTGTCAACAGAGATGTAAATTAGGCACATCGAAATTGCTAATGAAGCAGGGATTTAAATATCCAATGCCTCATTAGCATAAATATGGTAGCAGAAATAAAGCCTTTTTCAACATTTTTGAGGAATACAGGATCTGTCAAAAAAGGCTTTATTTTGACAGATCCACGTCTAGACTGCCGTTTTTTTTAAAAACCTCGGTTTCGAAAAAAGCCGTGGCCATATTAAAATCCCTGCTTCATTAGCAATTTCAATGTGCTTGATTTGCATCCCTCTGTTGACAGAGGGCTATAATCTAGACGTAGCCCCAGATGAAGGGCAAGTCTCTTAAAGGAATGGTCTACTGTATTTTTAACGATAATCAATATATCGTATGAGGCACTGGTTTGATGTACTTTCATTGGCCTGATCTGCTTAATAAATTGTGTATAACATCTGCACCAGTTACAATTTCCATGTGGCCTCTTTGGTCAGCGTCCAGTAGGACACATTTACACTACAATAGCCAAGCCTAAAAAGGCATGGATTATAGTGACTAAATCCTCATCTAATAGGGGTGTTGCCTTCTGGTTAGCTATTGAAGGAAGAAACCATTTAATTTAGTACATTAAGTACTACTTCCTGGGGCTCTGAATAAGGTATGATACATTACAAGTTAGTGACTGTGAGAGAATCTTGGAGTCAAACTCCCTACACTGGTTAAACCATATGATGAGAGTCTGAGAAGGGTGAAGCAGGAATAATAGAAGTGGGTAATAGGTTTAAATTGAAGTGGACTTGCCCTGCTCTAATTTGTACTTTCTTTTGCTCTATCACTGTAGAACTTACACCACTTTGAACTCACCTACTAAAGTGTAATTTATGACTGATTATTTCAAAGCTCTCTATGGGATTTAGACACTCAGTTCCCATTGACTGTATTGGAGATTGGACATCCAAATCCTCTAGGCAGCTTTGAGAACCTTTCTTTATAGCTTTATTGTCTCTGAATCTGAACCTCTGTCTGGAACAAATAATTATAAGGAATAATCCTGTTCCCAAAAAAGCTATTCTGATTCTTGACAGCACGCCCGTTATTTTGAAATAGCTTTTGAAATAACAGGCATGCTATTCCGATGTCACTGTAAATCTCCTTCCACGAGGATTAAGGGACATTTCAGAATAGCGCAAATAAGCTATTTTGAAATTAACTCAAAATAAACTGTGCAGTTTGGGTAGCTCAAATTGTGTAGCTTATTTTGAGCTAAGGGTGCAGTGTAGACGCATCCTACGACTTCAATATGTTCTGGGGTGGCACAGTGTCTGGATACACTGAACTCTCTGCATAATTGGAACCTTAATTTGTTTAGCCACAGAAGTGCCCCTGAAATTAATGAGAACTGTCTGGCTAAGTCCTTTTTAAGCGGTCTTTGAAAATCTCAATGTATGTCTTCAGACATTAATTCATTATCTATTTTTTCATATCACATATGACCCTGCACTCTAATCATTTGTATTGCAGGAGGATTCCAACTTTTTCAAAATTCTGTTTGGCCATTTATTTCATAAGAGAGAACTTGTCTCACTACCCACCTCCTTTCCTTGCATCTCAGTTAGCTCTCTGAGGGTACGTCTACACTACAACGTTAATTCGAACTAACTTAGTTTGAATTACTTAATTCAAACTAAGCTAATTCGAACTAACGGATCCAGACTAAAAAACTAGTTCGAATTAGCGTTTTGCTAATTCGAACTAGCATGTCCACACAGAGTGGACCCTGAACAGAGGTTAAGGATGGCCGGAAGCAGTGCCGGCAGGGCATCAGATGAGGACTTAGAGCGTGGAGCTGCTGTCTCAGGCTAGCTGAGGGCTGTGCTTAAAGGGACCCGACCCCCACCCTGGACAGACAGTTCTCAGGGTTCCCCGCTTGCAAAGCAGTCCTGGCTTGGAGTTCCTGGAGTGCCCACACTGGGCACATCACAGCACTCGGCCATCAGCCCGGCTGCACTTGCCGCAGGCTGCCATCCGGGGGGAGGGGACAATCGGGGGGCTGCAGGAGAACTTCCACCCCGAAAAGCCCGCAGAGCCAGCCCAGTCCTCCCCATCGGGGGCTCGTACCCCATCCCTCACCTCCTTCCACTTACCCTTCCCTAGCCCCCCTTCCTGATGTACAAAATAAAGAAAACGTGGGTTCAAAAATAGAATCTGTCTTTATTGAACAAAACTGGGGGAGACTGGGAAAAGGAGGTGGGAAAGGGGAAGAGAGAGGCAGGGACAGGGGAGGGCAACTAAAATGATCAGGGGTTTGGAACAGGTCCCATATGAAGAGAGGCTAAAGAGACTGGGACTTTTCAGCTTAGAGAAGAGGAGACGGAGGGAGGATATGATAGAGGTCTCTAAAAGTATGAGTGCTGTGGAGAGGGTGCATAAAGAAAAGTTCTCCATTAGTTCCCATAATAGAAGGACTAGAGGACACCAAAGGAAAGGAATGGGTAGCAGGCTTCAAACTAGTAACAGAAAGTTATTCTTCACAAAGCAAATAGTCAACCTGTGGAACTCCTTGCTGCAGGAGACTGTGAAGGCTA